TCTCCTATACCGATACCCTCATCACCTTGGCAGCTCCTGACTACTCTATCCATGTACAACACAAACAGGACAGGGGACAGGACGCAACTTTAGCGGAGACCAGTGCCAACGTTGAAAGTTTTCGACTTAACGCCACTTACTCTGACGCAGCATCGGCTCTCACTGAAAATTTTTAGTGAACTAAGATTCGCTCCTTGCAACTCAGTCATCCATTTAGGCTGTTTAGGCGGGTGAAGGATTTGACGTTCATCCGGCAACTCTTCTGTTCGAGTCCTGCATCTCAAAGCCGCAGATTATTTTGCCAGCGAGCAATTCCCTACTCCTTCTTTCCAAATGTCGCAATAATTTGCGAATCGAGTGTTTAAAAACATACAGTCAAGATCCGCACGAGTTGTAATATGGCAGACTGGTGGATGTTCATGTTGGTGAGAAAGGACAAAGTTGATCGAAAGCTGAGCAGAAGCTACGAATAGTAGAGTCCTTGAAAGAGTTTAAGTGGGTGAAGCTAACTCTTCTGAAGTAAGTACTGCAAGAAACAGCACGCATGTACTTAAACAAGTTATGCAGTTCATATAGAACAAAGGAATCATGGCAATTTAATATTGATTTGATTTATATTTCACTTAATTGCATTTCTGTAAATTACAATTTTAGGAAAGAACGGTTGATTCTCAAAAACTGAGAGAAAATACAATCCCAGTAATGGGGTAAAGGGCTTTAGACGTATTTACGTTTTGCGATGACAACTAAAAAAGGGCTCTGCAATGGCATGGAAAATCAAATCCTTCGGTAAAATTTGTACAGTTCTCCCTAATCCATCTTGATGCCTTGGTTGAGGATAATCGGCAACGACTTTAACTCATGACAGACTGAACTGAACTGAGTAGACCACACATTTAAGTGGCTAATTGTAAACAGATTTGTTCGTCTGATCACCGCGCTATACCGCCAGTCTGTTTCTCGCTGCCCGATTATGGTTAATCGCTGATACAAGAATGTTGATTATTGCTGTTTCAAATTTCTTCAGAACCTCGTTTACCTCCTATGGAGTTCATCTGGCC